CAAGTCAAAGAGCAATAAAAACGGCCAAGCGCACCAGAATTTGTTACAGAACGATAGCCAGCAATCTATCCTCTTCAAAACATTCTGAAGGAGTTGGTTCGTTGTCTGCACAGTTTGTGTGACAAAGGCCTGTTTGCTAAGCGATTCTCTAATTTGCAGTGTTTTTAGTCGCTTTTGATCTGACCCTAGATTACCATATTCAATAAAATGGGTCACTGACCACGGCGCAACGACTACGGAGTGTCTTGTGACAACCAGTTCCATGGCTTAGAGCAATGGTTATCGCAGCTAATTTGTGAGATTTGGGGCGTTTCTGGTAAGCTTTGGCTTGACCGAGGGTCACCAATCTCTTGGAGGGATATATTAACGATAGTAGCGTAACGATCATTGAACATTTCGTGGAAATCGGTCTCATAGGCTTGGAGCATGAGGTTGAGTGCAGCCAGCCTTGGTGCCTTTCTGACGGTATGGTTCCCTTTTTCCATTAAAGGGAATGTTCCACATTTGAAGATACTGAGGCAAGAACTAGATATGATGAAATACGCTTGCTTTTAATTATTGGTGTACTTTTAAGTATAAAAGACTGCCCCAGACAACACAATTTCTCTGTTAAGTAAATATGCTGTTCAATACAATATTGTTTGCTGACGTCATAGTACCTTGCGCAACATTGAGCGGGAGTCAAACAATGGCCGTTGTATCTGGAAATCGTGCTCACAAACGCCAGACATGGCAGACCCGACATTTTTTTCCGCGATCGCCGCGTGACCAACGGAGTGGCGGGAGTCGCATCACGTTATCGTGGCGTCATGGATGTCTGGGTGACCTTGAAATAGTCTCCCGAAAAAACTTGCACACTTTGCGGGCGTGTAGCTCAGAAACTGGAAGGGTTAAAACCCTAAGAGGGACAGTGTTGTTAGCTGCTCCGAGCGATCTTTAAGATAAATATTTCAGTTCAAAACGTGATACAAATGTGAAGCAGTCGTTTTCAAACGCTTCTGTATTTTGCAAAAAAACAGAAAGAGCCGGTCGCTTCATGTCACGATACAGTATTCAAACCCGTGGTGGCAGCGCAAATTGCAACCACGCAGTCACCAACTCCGTGAAATGTCGCGCGATACACCGCGCAGAAGTACCAGTCTCGAACAAAGCCGCGCAACCCCTCACGCAGAGTGTATATCACTTGTGCTCTTGCTCGGTGCAGAAGTCGGACAGCTTCTGGGCGAACTCGTTGGTAACATCGCGCTCCTCCAGCATGTTCAGCCATCTGGCAGACGGGTATCCATCCCTGTTGGTGGCCATTCTGTGCCGAATCACATAGTAAGGGGGCCTATACAACTGTACAACCACGCATATGCGATTTCATCGCGTCCACAGCCAAGCACGCCGAGGCCATTTCAAGGCTTTGCCGGTGACCCAGCACACTGTGATGGTTCCTGCGCTGCCCGCCGGAGCGCGGCGTGAGGTGGCGGCGGCTCGGTGTGGTGGAAAGCGACACCCAGCCCGCTGATGGTGATTTAGAACGGTCACCGCAGACTGCCTTGTGATTTATGCTTTGGGACTGGTAATCTTACAGTTTGAGTGGACTCACAATCCTTCTTCAGATTTGCAGAATAATATGACGCTGCATTACGTTGTTGCATCATGTTATGGTACTTCCGCGACCCGAAAGACAAATTGACGAAAGTGACCCAAGCTTTGTGTTGGTTTCCGATCTGTTCAAACACCAAAACTTGACTAGCAACAACAAGCTAAGAGATCCGTGGTCAAAATGAGTTACTCCACTGAGTTAGCGACGTTAGGTACCAACATGATTAACCAAGGAACCTAGCGCTACCAACCAAAGAACACTAATTCAACGAACAGGGTTGCTAACAAAGCTGGCCAAATTCACAAGAGCGGCAAACCAATCGTATCTAAGGAACCCTTGAAGAGTGCTCAGGTGGTTAACTCTGGGCACTACGGCAACTAGCAAACATTAAAGGAGCATCTAGCAAAGTTACCTGGCAATACCAGCTCGTGAAACTAGCAATATTTGGCATGATTAGCGTAACCTAAGTAGTAATTGGCATAACTAACGTAGCGGTCGTATTCGGACCTGCGCTTACGACAAATACACGAGAATATCGAAAGAGATTAGTGCACAAAAAGGCTGAACAGTTTTGCGGCCAAACGTTATTCTCAGAAAAAATTTAGTCTGCAATTAGAGTCATATGTTTTAAGCACATTCCGACAGTCGGAAGATGTGCAAGAGGAGTGAGAGCAACAACAAATAAAGCTTATGCCATCGCGGAGTGTTCAAATCTTTTAAATCCGTTTGGTCCAAAAGACCTTCTGCATCCCTGTTCATATAAATGGCGTCATGTGCTTGCCTGTAGTAGGGAACCCTTTATCAGCCGGTGATCGTGAAGCATGAAATCTTGATTGATGTGGAAGCAGATGCTGCGTAGTTGCACAGGCTCATTGTTGGAATTGGAAACGGTCCACGTGTTTGGCCGTTCATTTTTCGTGTGTTAACGGAACTTGTTTTAACTGAAATATTGGTACCGTTGTCGGTCTTCCTTTGCCGTCCCAAAAAGTAATGCCACCTAGGGTGCGGGATGTCTTGTGCTGCCATCTAGGGTGCGTGTTATTTTGTGCACACTATGTACGAAACTCTATCTGTTTCCTGAATGCGCATTGTGACATTGTAGCCATCGTAACACATTTGAATGGGGTTTGAGCTTGTGTAGCGTGGAAATCAAGACTTCCCACGGCTTGAAACATCCAGCAATTTGACTCTGTCATTAGTTTCTCTTGGTTTTTCTACGAGAAATTAGGCGAACAGTACTGTCTTGTTTGGTCCATAATCAAGGACAAATGACAGTAGAGATTGCAATAACTCAGGATTTTCGGGTTAATGGCTGGTCAGCATTGTAGCTCTGCGGGCTTTCTCAGGCTGGGTCACGAGCTGGCTGTGGCGGGCATGGCTATGGGCTGATATTTTTTGTAAAAGTTAAGCCCCTAGCTGCTACTTTTACATTCATGATACGTCTTGAGCAAACCATGCGAGGGGTACCAGTGTGCTTACTGAGTTCGGCGGGAATACAGGGCTGCACTGGCCGCCGCCTTTTTATTGACCTGTTGGATAACAACACAGCACAAATATGCCTTGTGTTGCCACAGATTTGGTGCAAAAAATTCTAGCCAGAACATGACACGGGCCACTGAATATTAACACGCGCTCAGGTATACGATTGTATGCCAGGCGCTCCGGTGGGGCCGCCAATTTGAGCTAGATGAAATTTTTAAAAAAATGGAAGTGTGGAAGAACAACAGAACAGCAGACAACAGGCAAGTGGAAGAACAACAGGCACCAAACTCACGGGAAAGTCAGGCATGTGTATACACTCACCATCGTCAAATTTTGATGTCCCTTGCTGATGACTTTCAGGCCAAATAAGGTCAAAAAAGATCAAGCACCGGATTGGCGTCCGAAGTGCCTTCAAACCTCCCCATGCAACCACCCTCAACCGAGATAACTCTTCCTAGGAAAAGGTTACTAGTGCTCATTCCAGGCAAGTGACCTCATTTGGCCCTCAGAAGGTGATGACGACAAAAGTATGTATATATATATATATATATATATATATATATATATATATATATATGTATATTATTGTGTTAATGGCTGGTCATATATATAATTCAATATATATATATATATATATATATATATATATATATATATATATATATATATATATATAAACATATACATTCTTCAATTCAAACAAGCGTCAATGCTTACGACAGGAGGTATGTTCCAAACTACCCAAGGCTGATTGGGGTCGTTGAAGGTCCGTGGAACGAGTTGACCTCCTCTGACCTTTATGTAGTTCAACAATATGTCTGTTAACCTTCCCGTGATGTGTGTTGATTCTTCATTGTAGTAAAAGGCCGCTGCTGTTCACGTCAGGTAAGTTATTTGGTTTGGCCTTCAGAATGTCACAGTGAACAACAGCCTACTAGATTCCTTTCATTTTGTATAAATAAGCGTCAAGAATATTGGCAGCAGGTGTGTTCATAACACAACGTTGACTGCGGTCGTTTTACGTCCGTAGTCTCCGCTGCCCTTCATGAAGTTCAGATGAGATGTCTGTTGATGTCCGTTCGATCAAGAAATGTTTAAGTTAGCGTGGACGACTATACGGAAAGTGATATTGCAGTAGAAAAGCAGTCTGTTTTTATTGCTTTTCCCTGGTTGGCCCTTATACATGACCAAAGGTCAATGCTATTAGTCGTTATCCTGAATCCAATTGTGTCATTCCCTTAGAAACTATCATCCTTGCCTAACCTTGACATTCTGTAAGTCAATGATCTTGCAAGGTACATCTACTTGTGTGTGGTAAAGAAGAGCTATTCAATTGTCAATATCCATACCAAGTTTGTTGTGGCTATGCTGCGCCGTTCGGAGGTTGTTCTGGAAAAAACTGCGGGGGGTCAAGTTGACCCCACACCCAAGCGTGCATGCAACTAATATATCTGCTAAGGAGCGGGAAAATAAATGAAATATTTTCTCTTCAACTTTTTTGCACAAAACTTATTGGGCATATGTGTAGCACAAAATATAAAAATGCGTTTTTTTGCAAAGGTAAAGTTCACACTGTTGCTTTGCATGGGAAGAGACAAACCCCACTATACCAGAAATGTACATCATTTGTTTTCAGCAATGCAAACGGCATTTTCTAACGTACAGATTTTTCCGTCTAAGTAATCACCAGACAGCTGATGCCATCGGAGTTTCCAATCCCCTCAAACCCGCACGCTTGAGCTCTTCAAAATAACTACAGTTTTCACGAGAGGCAGCTGCAGGCAACAGGACAGCCGGTCCTGTTACAGCCACGTTCGGCGGGATGCCGGTCGGCCTGGCGCTGGCCTTCCCGAGCAGCGCGCTGCCGCAGCTGAGCGGGCCGCCGCTGCACCTCACCGACACGCAGGCGGCGCTGTTCGGGGCCGCCATGCCTCTGGGCGCCCTGCTGGCCGGCCCTGCCGCCGGCTGGGCCATGCAGGCCGTGGGCCGCCGCTCGACGATGGTGGCGGCGGCGCTGCCGGCCATCACCGGCTGGCTGCTGCTCGCGTACGCCGGCTCGCTGGCCGCGCTGCTCGTCGGTCGGCTGCTAACCGGGCTGGCGGCCGGCTGCGCCACACTCGTCGCGTCGCCCTACACGGCCGAGGTGGCCGAGGCGCGCGTGCGCGGCCCCATGGGCGCGATGATCGGACTGCAGCTGGCACTCGGCATCCTGGTGTCGTACACGGCCGGCAAGTACGTCGCCTGGCGGTGGCTGGCGGTGGCATCGGGCGCCGTTTCGGTCGCCTGGCTGCTCATGGTGGTCGCCATCTGCGAGTCGCCACTGTGGCTGCTGCAGCGCAGCCAGCAGAGTCAGGCTCGAACCACGCTCGGCTGGCTGCGCGGCGGCCGCAGCGACGCCGACGTCGACACCGAGCTGGAGACGCTGGACGACCAGCAGCAGGCGCTGCGCTCGCAGCGCGGCGCGCTGCGCGATCTGGCGCGGCCCGAGCACCGCCGCCCGCTGGCCACCGTCCTGCTGACGCTCAGCCTGCAGCAGGCGTGCGGCATCAACGCCGTCACCTCCTACGCCACAGAAATCTTCCAGGAGTCTGGCAGCAGCGTCGAGTCGAACACGGCCGCGATCCTGGTGGGGCTGACGCAGGTGGTCGGCACGGTGGCCGGCGTGGCGGCCGTGCACCGCTTCGACCGGCGGTCGCTGTTGCTGACCTCGGCCGTGCTGATGGCGCTGTCGCTGCTCGCGCTCGGCGCCTACTTTCAGCTGCAGGCGAGTCGGCCGGACGTGTCGGCTATCGGCTGGCTGCCACTTGCCTCCATTGTCGCCTTCATCATCGCCTTTTCCATCGGGCTCGGATCCATCCCGTACCTGCTCATGGGTGAGTGAGTGCTGGCTGGCTGGCTGGCTGGCTGGCTGGCTGGCTGGCTGGCTGGCTGGCTGGCTGGCTGGCTGGCTGGCTGGCTGGCTTGCTGGCTTGCTGGTTGGCGGCGGTGGAGCACGCTGGGCTGGTGCTAAGCACCACCGTGCACAGCCGCGAGCCTGCACGCTGGCCTTTTGACGGTTATAAACGTGTATGGATATCCGTGTGTAGACTTGCTTCAGTTTTTCAAGTGGGCGAAACGAAGAATTAGGCGATTCTGGCATGTCAATTGGACATGGCAGATTGTATTGCAAACCCGACCACAAAGAAAATGTCATCCGCGCAGTCAGCAGCAGTTAGAACTTACATCAGTATCTATTTTTATTTGAATACTTCATTTCTCTCTCTATCCCTTTGACGCTCTCCGCGTACCACCGTCCCTTGCTGTTCACGCACCATCGTAGACGTGCATGGCTTATCTGACATCACCAGCCTTCTTGTTTTCCACAGGTGAGGTGTTCTCGGCGGAGATTCGGGATGCGGCCAGCGGCGTAGCCGTCTTCTGTAACTGGACCTGCGCCGTGCTCGTAACGCTGACGTTCGCACCGCTCGAACACGCCATCACGACCGCCGGCGTGTTCTGGATGTACGCCATCATCTGCCTGCTTGGCGCGGTCGCCATGCACTTCGTCGTGATCGAGACGCGCGGCAGGACGTTGGATGAGATCCAACAGCAGATGCTCGGCTGACACACTGTCAGCCAGCAACCTAGCACACCGGAGCTAGCGGCACTGAGCCGGCCAGTTTGGCGTGGTACAGGTCAGCGACCCCTTCAGGTCAGAGGCACTCTCAGGTGATGCGGCGACGAATCAAGAGTCTCAACGGGCAGCGACATCCCTGGGCAGATCAAGCCGCTGCCGATGGCCACAGAGTGCCTCTCAGCCGTAATGTTCTGGGCGGGCTAGCTCGAACACCACGTGATCAGTCACATTCACACGAATCGCGGGAGCATTCAAAACTGCTGGTGCTCCGAGAAGGTGTTCAGAGTGATGGTGCCCTGAGAAGGCGCCCAAAACTGATGGTACTCTGAGAAGGTGCCGCTCACTGTATTCACAGCGGAAGTACAGTAAAGTGCTGTCGCGAGACCTGTGACTTGCGCGCCGAGAATGTTGATGTGATTGTGTGATGTGCCTGCATAGCGGTTGGCCCGATTCATCCACTAGGTTCTCTAACGGTCGTTCTGGTAAAACGCGAGCTTTCTACTGCTGGCCGCGCCTCTGGCAGCTGCCCGTGGTGGTTGAACCTGGGTTCGTGACACCAGCTGGGGGTCAGGGGGGGGGAGGGGTAGCGGTCCCAGGCTGCAGGAAACGAACTGGTCTTGCGAACGCGATATGGTGGCACCAGCCACTGTCCGGAAGCATGAAACACTTTGCGGATCGAGTTTTAGGAACCCGTTCCTGTCCGTTCCGGTCCTGTACAATCCAATCCGTTCGTCAATCAGGCTGTTTCAAATTTCCTTGTACAACCCGGTCCAATTCGCCTCAATAAAGGCATGCAACTAGAACATGTGTTCAAGCTTTCTCTTCGCCGTAATAACCATACCAATATGGCACATTTCGGCATACCTCATTGTTCCCATTAAACAAGTTTCACATGAGCATTCTGACCGACTGCGAAAAAACAGCAATGATAGCAGTCAAAAAAGCAGCAGTGAAAATTTGGAGTATTCAGACCGGTTGCACAATCAGCCACCACTTACTTAAACTTGCTATTAACATAGTTTGCATGGAAGTACGTCTTAGCATACACATGACACACACAGCTGACATCCTGAATCCGGCTGTCATTTCGATGGTCCCATCCTAGGTTCCTAAACATAATATGGACTTTGTGGAAGGAAATATGCATGTCTGGATAGAAGGGGATAGCACCAAAACAGATAGTATCTACCACGGGTGCCGATTTGTATTATTTTGTGTGGGCCACTGCCCTCCTCCCAATGTTCAATTTTGGGCCGCAACGGCGAGTTTGCCCCCCCCCCCCCCCAGAAGGGGGGGGGCAAGAAGGCTTGACCCTAGAAGGCAAGAAGGCAAGAAGGCTTGACCCTAGAAGGCTTCTACCAATGACTTCACAAGTAAACGAACCAAAGAAAATGAAAACTGCGATATCATGTCCAGTTCAGTGCACGTGGCTGAGTTAGTCCCGCTTTTAAAGCTCCCGGATCGTTCCGTCTTTACTTGAGTTTTTCTTCTGTTCTTTTTCCCTATATGCCGCATGTTTTTGACTACACCATTTATAGCTATGGTCGACTATAGCCTAGTTTTGTGCTATTGTAGGAGTGTTGTGGCATTATTCAGCGATGTGTAAGTTCTATAGACCGCAGCAAATTGTGTTATTTTTCTACGACGTCTCATCGGGTAATCAAAATAGATCGTTAATAAGTTATTAGCCGACTTCACTCGGAGAAACTCCTGCAGCGCGTTGACCTTCATTTCGACGTGAATATTTGATGGAACAGTTGCAAGAACCTGACGACCGACACCAACTGACTGAACCCTTAGCGGTAGTCGTCCGACCACGACCACCAGCACAAGTCGTGTCGAGCATGCCTAACGGGAGTGATTTACTTGAACCTCGACTTTCGGCAGTCAGCGGGGATTTCCATGGCAGACATAATTAGTTGTGCAAATCAACTTACACTCTTTGCACCTGAAGTCATACACGTCCAACAACGTCTGAAGCCACATAACATGGACTGTACGTCGATTACCGAAACCGGGTTTCGACGAGCGACGCAAACAAAATTATGGTGATGCCCAACGACGACATCTTTCGCCGAAACGGAGCAAGCAAATTAGTCAGACCTGACTTGCATTTTTTTATATTCTGTTGGCGGGACTCCAACTCCATAACGTCACTGAAATGAAATCGGGTCATATCCGGGAGGTAACCCGTTTTTTGGCGCATTTGGCGCTAGTTTCTTCCCGCTCGTCATCACCAACGCTTTTTTGCGAAACTGCACTTCTATGGTAGAGTGCTGACGACCACGACACGCGAAAGATTCGTGATCAGATTATACTCCAGGGTCCGGTCTGGGATTTAGTGCCCTTGTCCCAAGCAAAGACAGGGCCGAGATCCGCGATTCACATTGGTAGGGGCTCTTAAGTCAATGAGTGGCTCCTGTGTCAGTCAAGGGACCACAGTGCCTAAAAAGGGTCCGATAGTGATAAGGGGCTCAGAGTCGGCCTGGGGCAGCGTTAGAGGGGCCCGCAGAGGAGTCAAAGGGTACCTCGGAACCGATGATCAAGTGCCCGACTGGAGGGCAAGGCAGTGCCAAACCAGCAAATGTAAGCTAGAGGGCCTCTTGCATCGATTGGAGACACCACTGGACAATGGGGGTCTCTCTTTGGTCATAGACCACCAACACCGAACAGTCTGCTACGTGTTGGTCTGAGCTTTGGGGGCCCATTTCCCAAGCAGGGACGATTTCGGACCCCGTGATATGCATTACTCGGTACCCTTGAAGCAATGAGGACATCTTTGCTGGTCAGAGACCCGTAGTGCCTAATAGAGGGCCCAACGTTTGCAAGGGGACTCGTGTCGGCCAGGGCAACATCTGTTGGAAAGGGACAGGGACGGGACCCCGAAAGTCAGGGGCCTCTTGCGTTGCCCGAGGCCCTCTGACAGTGAAAGTGGGGATGAGAGTCAACGATGCGAGTCCACAACACGATAATGCAAGGCCCTTTGTCAGACAGGCCCCGGCACCGAACGGAGGGCTCTCCATCTCATTTCAACCAGGGGCCCGTTATTCCGAACTGTAGTCTCTACGCCAATTATTGGACACCTGCAACGATAAGGGCCCTTCTGCATCATTGAGGGCCCCTGCGTCTATTTGGGAACAAATGGCCGGGCCAGGCGGCCTCCGGCGTCAGGTAGACGACCAATGCATGATGCATCCCTCTTAGGGCCTCGGTATCAGCCTGCGCAGCCCGCCCCTGTGTCACCGACAGGACAGCCTGCAGGCACCCCGCGCTGTAACGAATGGCCCTGAAGCTCCTGATCGGGGAATAAAATGTGCCCCTATTAGTTTACCCAATGGGTTCCTTGCCCGGAAAACGAAAGGGGTTTCCTTCGTGTTCAACGGGGCGAATCACAATGCGGTCCAAAATGGAAAAGGCCAACACGAAAGAGGCGTCCATCCTTGCTCAGGATCATCATGCGGAACAACTTGCATAAAACGGTTTTAGGCCTGCGTGCTCACAATCTTAAGAGCAAGAACACCAATGACTGGGGCTGCAGTTTCCATGACACTGAGCGGCGTTGGCCACTGCAGCTAACACCGGGCGATGGGCACCTGGCGCCCGAGAACAGTCATCGTGAAATAATGCGGCCAAAGTCTTTTAAAACCATTTGGCACCGCTCAGAAGTTGGTTTGCAGCGTATATATCCAGCTTGAATAATTTTCTAGGTTATTCTCTGAAGAAATGAACAGCGACAGCAACATGAAAATAAAGATTCTACCCCTACTTAACTAGGTTTTCCAATAAATTATTGCAACGGTGCGCAACGCTATGAATGATAATTCGTTTATATTAAAATATGAAACTTGCACAGGTAAAACGTACTTCTGGAACGCGCTCCAAGCGCTCAAATTGATATCCTAGAACGTTAAAAAGCACTTCCTTCAGAAACGTTGTCGTTTTCGTCCACCCGTTGGCCACCGCCAGTGTTACACGTGGAACCGACGCAGCACAACCCCAAGAGACTGCAACGCCGGGCGCCGGGGCTTTGTTGCAAGACTTGCGAGTACGCACGACCAAAGCTAGGTTACTCTTTCCATTCTTGATTCAGTATGGAAAGAATAATATAACTTCCAGGTTGGTATGCATGCAAAGTTACGATCTTATTTCGATCTAAGATCTACATTCATGACGTCCCTCTACAACCCAGAAAAATTCCGGGACAACCCCTGAGTGCTATCGGCTTAGAAAAAGTCTACCGAAACATTGCAAAATGAGAAACATCGGTATCTTTCATTCAGTTTGTTTAAATTTCAAAATACAAACAGCATTGTGTCTATGGGGGACTTCTGGCTTTTAAGAACGGCATCGCTTGCCTCGAAATGGAGCTGGCCATATCCGGTGATTTCTTTCTTTGGGTGGGAGCTATTCCTCAGGGGGAGGGTTTGGTCAACGCTGTGTCCCATTCCGCGGTTACCAAGAGTCTGGCTGCGTCCCTGCGTCGGTACGCTCATTGAGCACGGAGTATGCGCATTTAAATATTATCTCATGGTAACGGAAAAGCTGGCTCAATTAGCAACGCTGTTACAATCAACCTGCTTTACGCATGACATTGATATGACGGGTGTTTCATTTCTCACACGAAATTAAATGAGTGAAGGTTGCTTTGCTCACACGTTCCCGAAATGAAACGAGTGAAGGTTGCTTTCCCTTTAGAGGCACAAATGCTGGGAACAGTGTCCTTCAGACGTACAGCTGGCTTGCATTTTGTGGTCATTGAAAAGAGCGGGAGAAGGGATTCTCAACAAGAGGGCACCTGCCCAAATGTATTTGCGGAAAAGTTCAAAACCATGCCCTTCACTTATTCATGGAATGAACATGTATTTGACATGAATTCGTGAACGTTAGTGTTCAGTAAACTGCACGTTTTATGGAAGACATTTTGTTGTATTGAGAGCCTGCGTACAAATGAGTCATGATAGCCACATATATTGTGGACACTGGACATCCTATTCTCG